GATGGAAAGAGAGAGAGAGAGAGAGAGAGAGACAGTGAGAGAGAAAGTGAGAGATCATCCCCCGGGGGGAATGCCACACTGCAATCCCTTCTTCTCCATTCTCCTCCTTGGATCTTGGGCACACATACACACGTGCGTGGCATGATTTTTAAGTCACTGTGTCTGGGACTTGTACCGTGGTTGGCCATGTGGGAGTCCAACGATGTAACTGCTACACCATCTGCTGGCCCCAGATCTTAATGTTTTTAACTAGTTGTAGGATTACCCCTCTCCCCCCAGCTTCTCATTAGCAAATGTTTCCTGGTTTGAAGGCCACCTTTAGGGCTTGACAACTGTTTGGGTCTGGTACTTTCCACTGTGCTGCTCGATTGGTTGGGTGCCCATTTCTACACACTAGCAGTATCGGAAAGGTTTAAAGCAATGCTCAACGATGTACAGCAGTTAGCATAATGGCTATGTCGTTGGACGCGACTGCAGTTCGAATTCTGGACCTGGTGGCTTAAACTCACGCCGGGCGCATGTGCGTGCATGCCCAAGATCCTGAGAGGAGAATGGAGGAGAAGGGATTGTGGCGTGGCCATCCTCCCTGGGGGGTGATTTCTCACTTTCTGTTTCTCTGTCTCTCTCTGTCTTTCTGGAGAGCACATGTGCCCTATAGGAAAAAGAACCTCTAAAAAAATAAAGTGATGCTTCTGAAAACACTATTTCTAAGATTCTTTGGAGCAAAAAGGATCTATGGCTTAATCATTTAGGGGAAGTTTACAAATGTACTTTGAGTTCTGAGAAGTTCTGCAAGAAAGTAACTTGTTAAAGCACTTTTTTTTTCTTTTTAAAATATTTTGTCAGAACACATGTGTGTTTGCTGGGGAGAGAGCAAGAGAAAGAGAGAGGGAAAACCGCCCCTCTGTGGGATGGTCATGTACTATGGGGAATGGTTCCCACTCCTCTACTTTTCCATCTTTGAGATTTTTGGGCATATGTAAACACACACACACACACACACACACACACACACGCAGAATGTTTCTCAAGGCACGAAGTCTGGGACTTGAACCATGATGTTGGCTATGTGGGATCCATCCACCTTAACAATCACAACACAGGCTGGCCCAATCATCACATATATTTTTTTTTATTGGTTTTGTCATAGGGCGCCTGAGGTCACCAGAGAGACAGAGAGAGAGAAGATGAGAAATCATACCCCACAAGGAGGATAGCCATGTGCAATACCTTCTTCTCCAGTCTCCCCTCAGGACTTTGGGCATGTGCGCATACCTGCCCAGTGTGATTTTTTTTCTATTTTTCTATTTATTTATTTACATTTTTAAGAAATACATTCAATCGCATTATTTAGCTTACAAAGTGAACATTTCAATATGTGAACATTTCTCTCTGGTCCAGTTGATCAAAATATAACAACACTACCTCCCCGTCCCGACAATGCTCTGTCTCTGTATCCCTCCTCCAAATGTCCTTCCCCAGGCCCCACTCCTCCACACACACCACATCTGGCATTCACACCCATCTCTTGTGTTTGTACATCCTTTAGCCCGTCAGTTTCAGTCATAGAGTG